TTAATTAGCACACATAGCTCCAGCCTGGCCCCTTCTCTGAGCTCTAGTCTGGTATCTTATCTTTTCCTCTTGGTATCTCAAAGGCACATCACACTTAACATGTCCCAAACTGTTCCTCCTGTGGGATTCCCCCTCTGACTGGTGCTGTTATCCTTCCAAGGGCGTAAGTCAGAAGGCTGAGAATCATGTCACCTCCTCCTTTACCTGCCAAAACATCTCTCAAATCTATTTACTACTCTTGAGCTCCTTTGAGACTTCTCTAATCCATGCCTACGATCATTTCTTGCTACAAATAGCTTCCTAATAGCAGCTCCACTGTACTCCCTCTAGTCCGCTCTCCTCGTGGTCTTCAGAGTAACCCTCTCAAACACAAATCTGATCATGTAACTCATCTGCTTAAAACACTCCAGTGACACCTGTTTGTGTGGGATTAAAACCCAAATCCTCACAGAACCAAGGTCCTGCAAGATCCCATCCCTGTGTGCCTCTCCCATCTCTCTGGTTCTTCAAGCACCAGAAAGAACCAGACTGGTCCCTCCAGCGTGTCACACTTTTTCCCACCACAGGGTTCATTCATTCCATGGAATGTTACCCTGTCACCTAGGTAATGACTGCTCATTACTCCAGACCCCAGCTAGATCACCACTTTCTTAGAGAAACTTTCACTAAACAAGTCAAATTCCCCTATTAGAGACTCATGATTCCATGTACTTTTTATTTGTAGCGGTTATCACAGTTGCAACTTGATAGATAATGATTGCTGCCATAATTTATTAATGTCTGTCTTCCCTCTTCCCTGAACTAAGCTCTGAGCTTCATGAGGGTAGAGACCTTGATTGCTTTTGTTCTTTTGTTTACCCTTGTATCCCCAGGCCTAGTGCTTGACACTAGTAAGTGCTCAAGAAATACTCATTGACTGAGTGAATAGGTGGGTTTTCAGGGTTGCAGTGTGTGGGGGTGGAAAGTCTGAGGGTCTGACTTTCACTAGTATAATGACCTTGGGCAAGTCATTTTGTCTTTCTGAGTCTCTGGTTTCTATCTGTAAAATAGGGATAATGAGGCCTGCCACCTCATTGGTTTGATGTGGGAATTAAAAGGGATCTTGTATGAAAGGTGTTTAAGCAATGTGAAAATGTAGGACAGTAAAATTAACTATGGCAATTTAGTTAACCTTGATGAACTTTAGCTCCTTTTATAAAATGGAGATAATAAACCTACCTTGAAAGGTTGTTAATGCAAATTAAAAGCGAGGGGTGGAAAGCACTCAGTAAGTGGTGCCTGTTACCCTTATGATTGGTGAAAAGAATGGAAAATGGATTATGCAAAGTTAGGAAGCAAAGTCAGGTGCTAAAGGTAAGAAATTGGGAAGGTGACAGCAGATGAGAGGTTGTGCTGAGGACAGTAGGTCCTGAGGTTAAAAAAAAAATCAAGGAGCATGTGTGGGAGGCCCCAGAGAGCAGGCTCTGGATGCATGCAACATGTTCACATTAGCTCTTACAATAAATATGATATAATGATATTAGCAATCTGGGGAAGATTATTCTGGCCTTTGTGGCTTATCTCAGTAATTATCAGTATTATTTATTCTGTAAAGCCCCTGTAACATGGGCCTAAAAACTTTTAACTTTTTAAAATATTACCTAAGAAATTCATATTTGTACAAAATACTAGAAAATACATAAGCAGTTTAATGACAATCTTCCAAAATGTACCACTCAGAAATAACCACTCTTGAATATTTTTGCTGCACTATGTATTATTCAAGATTATTTTCAAGGCATGTTATTTTGGGGGCCTATGTTTTTAAAAACTAGTTAGGACGTAAGTGGAAAATTGTAGTGGAATATACTATTAGATGCATTCCAGAGGAGACCTGCTTTATTTATTTATTTATTTATTTATTTATTTAATGATTCATCAACAGGCTTTTTCTGATGGGATGGACCTTTCCTCGGCTTCTCCAAAGCAAGAAACTTCCAACACACCTGAGGGAAAAATGAGAGACATTCTGCATGACCTAGAAGAAATCCAGGAAAAATTACGAGAAAACTTCACAGAGAAAGAGCCCCTTGAAGAAAAAAGGCAGGGTGAGTTGATTTCATTTAATAGAGGAGGATTAAACATGGAAGTTGGAGAGAAATGGCAAAATGCTCTGTGACTTTATTTTGTGGGGACATGGTCCCAGGGCCCAGCTGCATTATCTCTGTGGTGTTGTAAATGATGAAGGCATGGGCTACGGTATGTTTGTGGCTGGCAATACTTTTGGATATGACTGGAGGTGTGATGTAACACAGGCCCTGGATGAGATAGAAACTCATTTTCTAAGACTGTAAATATAGAGCCTGGACCTGATTTTGCTAGCTTACCATTCATCAGTGTTATATGAGAAGATTCAGAAACAGGCTGCTTTTTATTTTCAACTAGTAAATGTCTTTATTAACAATACATGCGACTTTAAATAGTTCTTGATATGTTCTATTAGAATATAATCTTTGGAGCGTTTGTTAATGTTAAACAGTAACAACGTAGAAAAGAACCTTTCTGTCCTGACTTTGTAGGTTCTCTGTTGTTCCCCTGGTCACGACTGAAAAACAGTGAACCCCTATCCTGCAGACATCAGCTCTGGTCTCTCTCAGCCCCACTTCCTACCCTGGCCACTACCAGCTTTATATACTTTAGGGACATAACTCTTACAGCATTTTTCTCTTTAAATGATCTTACTCTGCTTAAGAAGTCATCCCATATTTAAGTGGAGAAACATAATTCCTTGGAAAAGTTTCTTGAGGAAACCAATTAAAACATAGTTTGTCAGTTCCAAAAATTATCTGAGAAATAAGTACCCTCTTGGCTCCTGTGTGCTCCTAAATTTAGGTTGAGTTCCTTAGCGATTTTATTTATTTATACAAATTTAAAATTAATTTTAAAATTCAACTTATAATTTTGAACATAATCTTTATCCAGTCTTCTGTAGATGGGCATTTAGGTTGCTTCCATCTTGGCTATTGTAAATTATGCTGCCATTTCAATTAACTACTTTCATTAGTTTATTGAATGTCCATTCAGAATTCATTTATGCAAATACAAGCAAATATGAATTTATATTCTTATCTCCTTTTTACTTTTTACTCAAAAGGTAGATACTATATACACTGTTTGGATTTTGCTTTTCTTCTTTACTTAATATATCTCAATACATTTATGAATTGGTACCTTCAGCATTTTCTTTTATAGCTGCATAATATTCCAGCTTATGGATATGGAACATTTATTTACCCAATCCTCTACTGATGGATGCATGATTACTTCCAATTGCTTACAAATAATATTGATGTTAATAACGATACATATATTATTTTATATGGGTACAGATACAGATGTAGGTTAAATTGCCAGTAAGGGTGTGGAATCATAGGGTAAAATCATTTGTAATTTTGATATACATTGCCAAATTGCCCTCTAGTTAGGTTATACCGGTCTACACTCTCAAGGAAGAAATATGTATCCCCATAGCCTGTCAACTGAGTGTGTTGTCAAACTTTTGTAATTTTTTTTTTTTACAATCTGGTGGGTTAAAAAAAGTAATGTGTGAGTGTGCCATATTTTTAATTTGCATTTCTCCATTAATTGTGTATATATCTTGTGTCTTTTAAAATTTGACTTTTAGGAACTCTTTATAAATTAGGAAGAAAAACCTTTTGTCTGAGATATGAATTGCAAATTTTGTTCCGCAATTTGTCATTTATCTTTTGAGTCTATTTAGCATAGATTTTAGAATGCCATATAGACATTCTTCTATTTTCAAGTAGTAAATTTCACCAGTCTTTTCTTTTATGGCTTTTAGATTTTAAGTTTACTTAGAAAACGTTACCACCCCAAGTTTAGAAAGGAATTTTCCTGTGTGTGTCTGTGTGTGTTTGTAGTTTATATTTTATATTTAAATCTTTGGTTTCACATTTTATGATGAAATCTTTCACACATTTGAAGTGTATCTGGCATGTAGACTAGTGAATTTTAAATAATATTTACATAACACCACTTTAGAGACATATCTCTTATAATATTTTTATATTTAGTGATGTTGGTCTGGTTGAAATGTTGCTTCTGGAGAAACATGATTTCTTGAGAAAAAATGAACAATTTCTAAGATTATTTGAGTATGTATTTAAAAGTTTGTTTTTTTTTTTAAATTTTATCTTAATATTAGTTTCAAGAATATAGTGCATCGGTTAGACATTTATATAGTTTATGAAATGATCCCCCTAATTGCTCTTTCTCTCCACCTAGTCATTACATTAATGCTAACTGCATTTCCTATGCCATGCTCCCCATCCCTAAGTCCATCCATCAACTACTAATTTGTACTTCTTTAACCCTTCTCCCATTTTCCTCACCCCCAACCCCTTAACCCTCTAGCCATCACCAAATTGTCCTCTAAATTTATGAGTCTGTTTTTGATTAGTTTGTTCTTTTTGTTCCTTAGATTCCACATATAAGTAAAATCATATGGTATTTATCTTTCTCTGTCTAACTTATTTCACTCTGCGTAATAACCTCTAGGTCTATCTATGTTGTTGCAAATGGTCTGATTTCATTTTTTTAATGAATAACATTCCATTGTATATATGAACTATAACTTCTTTATCTAATCGTCTGTTGATGGGCATTTAGGTTCTTCCACATCTTGGCTGTTGTAAATTATGCTGCCATGAACATAGGAGTGCATAGATCTTTATGAATTATTGTTTTGGTTTTCTTCGGATAAATATCTAGAAGTACAGTTGCTGGGTCCAAAGGTATATTGATTTTTAATTTTTTGAGAAACCTCCAGACTGTTTTCCATAGTGGCTGTACCAATTTGCAGTCCCACCAACAGTGTATGAGAGTTCCTTTTCTCCACATCCTCAACAATACTTGTTCTTTGATTTATTGATGATAGCTATTCTGACAAGTGTGAGGTGAGATATCATTGTGGTTTTAATTTGCATTTCTCTGATGATTAGTGACCATGAGTATCTTTTCATATGTCTTTTGGCCATCTGTATTTCCTCTTTGGAGAAATATCTGTTCAGATCTTCTGCCCAGTTTTTAATTGGATTGTTTTTCTGTTGTCGAGTTTTATGAATTCTTTATACATTTTGACTACTAACCTATTATCAGATGTATCATAAGCCAATATTTTCTCCCATTCTGTTGATTTTCATTTCGTTGATGGTTTTCTTTGCTGTACACAACTTTTTAGTTTGACGTAGTCCTGTTTGTTTAATTTTTCTTTTGTTTTGCTTGTCTGAGGAGATATATCCGAAAAGAAATTACTGTTAGCAATATCAGAGAGTTTACTCCTATGTTTTCTTCTAGAAATTTTATGGTTTCGGGTCTTACATTTAAATCTTTAATCCATTTTGAGTCTATTCTTGTATATGGTGTAAGAAGGTGGTCTAGTTTCTTATTTTTTGCATGTATCTATCCAATTTTCCCAGCACCATTTATTGTAGAGACTGTCTTTACCCCATTGTATATCCTTGCCTCCTTTGTCATATATTGAGTGTACTGGCATGGATTTATTTCTGGGCTCTCTATTCTGTTCTGTTGATCAATGTATCTGTTTTTATGCCAGTACCGTGCTGTTCTGATTACTGTAGACTTGTACTATAGTTTGATAACAGGTAGTATGATACCTCCAACTTTGTTCTTCTTTCTCAAGATTGCTGTGGCTATACGGGCTCTTTTATGGTTCCATATAAATTTTAGGATTATTTGTTCTAGCTCTCTGAAAAATACTATTGGTATTTTGATAGGGATTGCATTGAATCTTTGGATAGCATGGCCATTTTAATGATGTTGGTTCTTCCTACCCATGAACATGGTATATGCTTCCATTAATTTTATCTTCTTCATTATTTTTTTTCAATGACATAATTTACTGAAAATAGGTCTTTTACCTCCTTAGTTAAATTGATTCCCAGGTATTTTATTGTTTTCGATGTGATTGTAAATGGGATTGTTTTCTTAATTTCTCTTTCTGAAAGTTCATTGTTGGTATATAAAAATGCCACTGAGTTCTGAATATTAATTCTGTATCCTGCTACTTTACTGAATTCATTGATCAGTTCTAACAGTTTTTTGGTGGACTCTTTAGGGTTCTCTCTATATAGTTTGATGTCATCGGCATATAACGAGCGTTTTACTTCTTCCTTTCCAATTTGGATACCTTTTATTTCTCTTTCTTGTCTTATTGCTGTGGCTAAGACTTCCAATGCAATGTTGAAGAGGAGTAGTGAAAATGGGCGTCCTTGTTTTGTTCCTGATCTTAAGGAAAACACTTTTAGCCTTTTCCCATTGAGTATGATGTTCACCGTAGGTTTGTCATACGTAGCCTTTGTTGTATTGAGGTGTGTTCCCTCTGTTCCCACTTTGCTGAGAGTTTTTGTCATAAATGGATGCTAGATTTTGTCGAATGCTTTTTCTGCATCTGTTGATATGATCATATGGTTTTTATCTTTTGATTTGTTAATATGGTATATCACATTAATTGATTTGTGGATATTGTACTAACGTTGCATCCCAGGAATAAATCCAAGTTGATCATGGTGTATGATGTTTTTAATGTATTGCCGAATTCAGTTTGTTAATATTTTGTTGAGAATTTTTGCATCAGTGTTTATAGGAGATATCTGACTATATACAGTTTCCTTTTTTTGTATCGTCTTTGTCATGTTTTGGAATCCAGGTATGGATTATGGTGGCCTCATAAAAGGAGTTAGGGAGTCTTTCCTCTTGAGTTTTTTTGGAATAATTTGAGATTAGGTGTTAATTTTTCTTCGAATGTTTGGTAAAATTTGCCTATGAAGTCATCTGGTCCAGGACTTTTGTTTTTGGGGAGGTTTTAAATTACCGATTCAATTTCATTTGTGGTAATTGGTCGGTTCAGATTTTGTGTTTCTTCCTGACTTACTCTTGGGAAATTGTATGTTTCTGTGAATGTGTCCATTTCTTCCAATTGTCCAATTTGTTGGCATATAATTGCTCATAGTATTTTCTTATGATCGTTTGTATTTCTGTGGAGTCCATTGTTATTTCTCTTCTTTCA